ATTTCTCACACTTCGTCAATAAATACCACTTGCAGTCTTAACAGTGACGACCCGAACCACTTGATCCTTTCCGGGGTGAGTTTCCACGATGCGGCCTATGCTCCATCGCATAGGTGGCAAATTTTCCTCCTTGATCACGACCAAGGTCCCTGGTTGTAAAGGTATTGTGGACCTCTCGCGCCATTTGCTTCGGATATTTAATTCGTTTAAATATTCTCTTTGCCATCTGATCCAGAAGTGTTGCTTTACCCTTTGTATGTGCTGCCAAGCTGACAATCGGTTAGTAGGAACATTCAATATGTCTATCTCAGGTAAACCAGTTAATGACTCACCTATAAGGTAGTGTGCTGGTGTGAGGGCTGTCAGGTCATTAGGGTCGGAGGATAATGATGTTAGGGGACGGGAATTTAAAATCGCTTCAATTTCTATTACGTAAGTATTGAGTTCCTTATATGTAAATAAGACCTCTCCGATGGTTCGACGCAAATGGAATTTAAAACCTTTGACCGCAGCTTCCCAAAGTCCCCCAAAATGTGGAGATCTTGGAGGTGAAAAATGCCAAGTAACACCCTTGTTGGTCAAATAATTTGTTATTGTTTGTTGATGCTGCTTTGATTCTAAGAATGTTTGAATATCGGATAAACTATTTTTCGCGCCTACGAAGTTCGTCACATTATCAGAATATATGGTTTGTGCAAAGCCGCGCCTAGCAAAAAATCTTCTCAGACTGGCAAGAAAGGCATCGGTGGATAAATCACTAACCAATTCCAAATGGATTGCCTTAGTGGCAAAGCAAACAAATACAGCTACGTAAACCTTCAACCTCTTTGTATTGCGATATTTCCTTTCCTTTATAAAAAATGGGCCGCAATAGTCAATACCCGTGGTCTGGAATGGTCTAATTAGTGTTACTCTATCCTTAGGTAAATTACCCATAGGATATTCTGGCATGTTCTTGGGACTGACTCTAAAGCAACGTATACATTTATGTATTACGTACCGTGTAACATTTTTGCCATCAATAGGTCAATATTGTAGTCTGACCGCGTTTAACGTTCCTAAGATACCTGCGTGCAACTGGCTGCGATGCTGATGTTCAATAATTAATTTGGTAATATGGTCTGATCGTGGTAGTAAAATAGGATGTTTCTGCGAATAGCGAAGGTTAGAATTTTGCAAACGGCCACCCACACGGATGAGTCCGTCATTGTCAATGAACGGACTTAAGGCAAGAATTTTGCTTTCCTTGGAAACAGAGTCACTCTGTATCAATTTTGTATATTCCCTTGTAAAATAACGACTCTGAACGGTTTTTAAAATGATATTGCGTGCTCTTCGCAATTCGGCGGTCGTGAGGAGTCCTTTATTGGATTCAGAACGTGAGGCATTTTTACAGAAACGAATACAATACGCGATCACTCGTTGAAGAGTGGTCCATGATGAGAACCGTTCGAAGAAGTTCGAAGTCACACTGGTAATTAGTGCAACCGTATTTCGGCTCTCCGGGATATCAATTTCAGGTAAGGCTGACGACGGCCATTGTAAAGGTGGATTAGAAAGCCAAGTAGGCCCCTTCAACCATAATTGGTTTGACAAAAACTCAATGGGTAATTGACCGCGAGAGATACAATCGGCTGGGTTATCGGTTGAATTGACGTGATTCCAGTTTTGAGGATCTGTACGCTCTTGGATTCGTGCTACGCGATTCGCGACGAAAGTTTTTAGGGTATGTGGGGGAGTTTTAATCCAGTGCAGTGCTATCGTAGAATCCGACCAAAGGTGTACCGACTGGATGGGGTATCTCAGTGCATTTACCACTACATGATAAAGATTGCTAAGCGATTCTGCCGCACACAATTCTAATCGCGATATTGTTATTGTTTTCAGCGGAGCAACTCTCGATTTTGCTGCTACAAGCTTAATTTTCACATTATTCTTATAATCTACAGATCTGATATAAATGCAAGCTCCGTATGCTACTTCGCTTGCATCGCAAAACCCATGTAATTGTAATTCCTCTGGCAATTTTGTTAGAATTTCGCGTTCTATCGAGTAATTATTTAATAATAGAAGCTGTTGTTGATAACTGTTCCAAGCGTTTTGTATCTCTAAGGGGACTGTATCATCCCATCCTATTCCACACTTCCATAACTCCTGCATTATCAATTTTGCTTTGATGACTACTGGACCGAGGAGTCCTAAAGGATCAAAAAGTTGAGCAATCTTTGAAAGGATTGCGCGTTTAGTCGGCAGAAACTTGTCGTTATCAACGACCACCTTGTAACCAATTGTATCTTCACGAGGGTGCCAATAAATGCCTAACATCTTTTTTACCGTATCCGTATCTAGACACAAGTGTTCCTTGGAGGATCGATCATTAATTCCTCGAAGCAGAGCCGTTTCATTTGACGCCCATTGCCGTAAATTAAATCCCCCCAATTTTAAAAGCTTGATTAACTGATCTCTAAGCGTCATCGCTTCTTCTAATGTTTGAGCACCAGTTAAAAGATCGTCGACATAGAAATCGGTTTTTATAACCTGGGCTGCGAGAGGGTAATTGCCAACTTCGTCAGCTGCTAATTGATGGAGGCTACGTATTGCAAAAAACGGGGCAGAGGCTGTACCATACGTTACTGTGTTAAGACGGTATGTCCTGACTGACTCCTTCGGATCTTTACGCCACAGTATTTTCTGATAAACCGCGTCCTGTGGGTCTAATCTTATTTGTCTAAACATCTTCTCTATGTCGGCCGTCAGGACATATGCATGAGATCGGAATCGGATAATTAAGGAGAAAATATCTTCCTGAATTGTTGGACCTACCATAAGTGTGTCGTTGAGCGATATCCCGGTACTTGTCTTCGCGGACGCGTCAAATTCTACACGTAATTTAGTTGTGAGACTACTTGTTTTTATTACTGGATGATGTGACAGATAACATCCTTCATCGTTACATGCCTGATCTGTTATTTCGGACATGTGTCCCGAAGATTCGTACTCGTTTAGGAATTCGGTATAAGCACTTCGTAAATCGAGGTTGCCTTGAAGTCGTCGCTCTAAAGAATAAAAACGGTTTAATGCCGTTTTGTAAGAATTGCCTAGTTCAACCTTTCTACTGTTGAATGGTAATCGTACTATGTACCGACCGGTTGAATCACGTTGTGTGGTTGCTTGAAAGAACTCTTCGCATAATTTCTCTTCCGGGTGCATTTTTGTTTCGTGTGGATATTCCTCTAATTGCCAAAATTTGGTTAATTGAAGATCTAATTGATCTGTGCTAAGAAGGCATTTCGTTATTGTTTGCTGGGGTTCGGTATCGCTTTGCACTTCACCCGACACGATCCAGCCTAACGCGGTATTTTGTAATACTACGGTTTCATTATGTAAGCGAATTCTTTGTGCCTTTAAGAGTTTATAATAAAGATATTCGCCTAATAACATATCAATAGTCGCGGGTTTATGGAACCACGGGTCAGCTAGTGTAACATTATTCGGTATCCTCAGCGATTCACGATTTATCATGCGAGATGGCAACGCGTTTGTGATTATCGGTAACGTTAAAAATGTTGCCTTGCACGCAAAATTAGAGTTATTCGATTTAAATTGAGCTTCGACAGCATATTTTACTCGGCGTTCCGTTCGTCCTATACCTGAGGTTATTAAATTTAGATTACGTTTAGGTAATTGAAGGCGGTTTGCTAAGTCTTCAGTCATAAAATTTCGTTGAGAACCCGGATCTAAAAGAATTCGGCAATTATGTCCCTCATTATTTCGTCCTATTAAGGTAACGCACGCGGTAGCTAATAAAACTTCCGTTGTCAAGCCTTCGGATGCTGTTAAGACTACGGTAGCCGGTATAGAGGATTCATCTGGCATAGTACTAGTTCTGACAGGGGTTTCGAAATGTAGAAGCGTATGGTGTTTAGAACCACATTTTCTACAAGTAGTCGCGCGACAATGCGAAACGCTATTGATGCAATGCTTCAGGGATTTAATTTTTCTTAATCTCTCTTGTGGCGTTTGATTTAAAAGTTGCCGGCACTGGTTCATATAGTGTGCTTGGGTGCACAATGGGCACCTTAATGAATTTGTACTGACTAGGCTGTGGGTTCTATTTGGAAATCTATCTCTATTCAGAAATCGATCTCTATTCGGAAATCTATCTCTATTCGGAAATCTATCTTTATCTATAGGTGTTGCAGGAGTATCGCGTGAAATCAATCTAATCGGTTCGTCATCTCGTGCCATTTTATTTAAAAATGCTAGAAGTTCGTTGAATTTCGGTAGCACGTTCTCATCGATTTATTTATGGCCCTTTTTGGCCCAATTTTTCTCTGGCCCTTTTTAAACATTTCAACTAAACTTTGTTTCTCAGTTTCAGTTAAATGTTGTCTTCCTGTCATATTTAATGCAGCTAACAATACAAACCACATTAGACGATGTCAGAAAAGAGACTAAACATCTTCAAAAACGTTTGCTTACATTGTATACTTTACTTATTGAGAGATGTTCTCATGTTTCTTAACTTTTGTCACAAAGCTTCTGTTTTGTTTCCTCGACTCAATTTAATTGTAGACCTTTTGTAAGTATAATTGAACAAAATCTTATTGTATGTTGATGTATGAAATGTTATCTCTTTATGCTATTTTTAATTCCAACCTATGTATCTCAGAAGATGAAAAATATACAGTAATTCCCAAACGATCATTTTGTTTCTTAACTTTTGTCAGTAAGTGTATGTCAAGGCCCTGAAGATGGGCGTCCGTTCTCTTCAGGACGCACTCCGGCGAGATCAGCAAAAGGACCACCTCAACGGCGCCGAGCTCAGTGTTGGAGCGTGAGAACGCCGAGCTCAGTAAAACAGTGGAGGAGCTGACTGCCCAAGTTGGGCGGCTAACGGAAGTAATTGCGGAACAGGGCCGCAAACTGGAGGCGCTAAAATCCGCCCCCAGGACTTCAAAGGAAGGACGCCAGAAATTGCCACGTCCATCGCCCGACACTCCCCCAGATAGAGCAGGTGACAGCCGCCATAGAGGAGATGGTGGTTGAACGCAAGGCGACGACGGTGGAAACCCGCCCTTCCCAGCAGGAACAGGGGATGACCCTGCGGCGAAGGGCAGGAAAGAGGAGTGAGGGGCGGAAATAAGGGGTGAGGAGTGACTCCGTACAGAGTCGGAAGGAGAAGTTCCTTGCGGCAGTGGCCTCCATTATGGAGACCAAAATGAGCGCCTTGATTTCCCGCGGCCCCTCCTCTCCCTCGGGAGACGATCGGGGAGACGACGGGAAGCGGCGCGGTTCAACCGCCTCCCACTACTTCTTCTTCCTCGGAGGTGGTGAAGAAGAAGAAGACGGCGGCCAAACCTCCGGAAACGTAGATAGCAATGGCGGGGAAGAGGGCGCAACCAACACAGGCAACGACATCCGCCGCAGCCCCCGAGGGAACCTGGTCCACAGTTGTGGGTGGAAAGGAACAGCGGGCGGCCCGAAAAGCCGCTGCTGCCCCTCAGCCTCCCCCTCAAAAGGGGTGGCAGAAGAAGAAGGAGGGTAAGAAGGCGGGCCCTCCGAAGGTCCGCCCACCAAGACCCCCCAGAACGGCGGCTATCGTGGTCACCGCGCTGCCTGGGCGGAAGAGGAAGGTTGGCGAGGTAATTGCGGACGCAAAGTCCAAAATCAAACTCGCCGACCTGGGGATATCCACTATCAAGCCCCGTCGTGCTATGAATGGGGCTATGATTCTGGAGATCCCCGGGGAGGGAGAGGCGGCGAAGGCTGACGCCCTCGCAGCCAAGATGGTGGAGATTGTGGGCAGCGACGACGTCAACATCGTCCGGCCACAGAAAAAACAGGAGGTGAGAATATCCGACCTCGACGACAGCGTCACCCCACAGGACTAAATGGCCATATGTTACGGTTTCTTACGCTAGTCATTTGGTTAAACCTTCTAAAGTTCATGTAAGATCCATGGATTATCCTTGTCGTGATGGAGCGCATTTGAGATTTCGATACTCCGAGAGATGACATGGCGTTTGCGGAAGAAAACGCCCATATCCCCTTCCATGATACAGTAACTGTGTAGAAGTCAACGTTCTGGTTCAATACATTATACTTTTTTAAAATATATTCAGTTATGTCGGGGTTATTGACGTAATAATTCTTCTTCCGCGTATGCGCTTCCTCCAAACTACGGTACCCAGATACTATTTGAGCATCAATTACTCTGGCAAAGCCACCTCGGATTGCTATTAGATCCGGCTTGCGCAATCCAACAGAGTTTGTGATTTTAGGCTCCATCATAATGTTCCAACCATCCCTCATTAAAACCTTATATGTATATGTACATATTTTACTATCACGTCGTGCCTTAACACGCGTCCCCCATGCGTACGGAAGCATTCTTGTACGATATGTGCAGTAGTCTCTGGAACACTGCAACCCGCTCTACACACATGATCACAACTATTGCGTCTTAGTCTCCGCATCGTACGCATACGAGACGGAAGCGCATTTATTCTGGTACGTAGGTTCTCTATATACTCCCTCGCCGGCATTCGAATATATGGATCATTTATCCAAAAGCTTGAAGCACTAGATTTATTACAGTCCCTGAGCTCGTAGCCTTCGGTTGTACGATGTAGCATTTTTGCCCAATCAATGTTTCTGAAAGTGCCAAAATTACACCACTTTATTCTTTCACGAACTCATTTCATCGCTGCCGCTGCACGCACCGCTGGGTTACTGGATGTAGTAAGAATGTTGTAACGTCTTTTCCTTAACTCGGGTATTTTTGTTTCAAAGGACATTATACCAAGTCCACCGTCCTTGATCGGGGTATGGAAAAAGCTTTTAGCTATATCGTTAGGCAAGGACAACCATTTCCTTATATATTTACGGACGCATTTACGGACGCCTAATACTGATTGGTGTTAGAATCTTGGCAATAGATACATGCGGACAATATGCAACCTTTGCTGTGGCTTCAATGGCGCTTGTGTAATTTTCTTCAACAGAGGAGTGATATCTATTGTCCTCTTTAAGATGCCTCTCTAATTAAATTCTACTCCAAGGTGTTTCCAGGCTTCAACAAATCCGACTTGAGGAATAGGAGTGCCTGCAATATCATATAACGGGCTTTCTATTAATTTAGACTTTTTGTCGTGTCCGGACGGTATCACACTTAAACTTCGACATTTGGAGGGAGCTGGGACGAGTCCATGTCGTGCCAGTTCGGTTACTACACTGTCGATACTCTCTTGCAAGCCTTCAACCGTAGCTGCAATGAGGACCATGTCATCAGAAAAGGCAACAGCATTGACCAACGTATTATTCAACGAAAAACCAACTGTCTCTTAAGAGAGTCATAGTTACTCTCGCCGTTTACCCGCGCTTTTTTAAATTTTTTCACGTTGACATTCAGAGCACTGGGCAGAAATCACATTGCGTCAACACCCGTGGGGGCCATCGCAACCTGCTATGGGACGTTCGCTACGACTCAACTCTGCGGGCCAACCTGCCCGGCGGCGTGGCGCTGACGTATTATAAAACCACACCTTGTATTATGCCTGAGATGTTTGGCAGGCAGCACCATAGTTCATTAGTTTGGCTTTCTCTGTTTAGCCTACGCCATTCCGTTGTGCAGTATACCTTCCGTGCGTTGTTGTCATGCGGCTGAAC